CCTGCTCTGGGTGACCCTGCTTCGGCAGGGGGTTGGGCTGGGTGACCCACAGAGGGCCCTTCCAACTCTGAACATTCCGGGATGCTGTTCGCAGCGAGGCAAACAGGTCACTCAGCTGGTGCTTCCGACTTCTTTCTTCGGGGGGGTTGATTTGCTCTTTACAAACACAGGGAGAAAATACGCACAAAAAGGCAGACAAAAGACCGATAATTCCAATCTTACTCAAATGTTCATCCATTTGTTTGGCTGATCTAAACCTCGATACATATTTCAGAGTCAGAGGTGCTCCAAATGAGCCTCACCAGCTTCGTTACCGAGCACAAGCACTCCAAGCTCCCTGAACCCTCAACGTTCTGCAGAAAAGCCTACGGAAAATCCCCCCCGCTTAATCCTAGCGCAGCTGCCTGGGAGACAATCAGATCCAACTCCCGCTATCTGCCGGCTGCAGGCAGCCAACCTCGCCGTGCCCTTAGCGCACTCCCATTTACAGACCAGTGATCAAACTCCCCGACAGCGAACCCGCAGGCCCATCAGCCAGCGCCTGTGCGTCCTCCCGCCGTCCTCTCGTTAATAAAGATTGTTGCTCATTAACCTTTTGGTGACCTGCGTACCGAAATATTTTTGATCAGTCAAGTCCCTATCGCACAAGGCTGGCGCCTTCGCAGCTGCAGTCCACAGCGCCCCAAATCCTCCTCTCCCCCAGGCAGCAAGAGGCTCTCCAGATGTGGTTTTAGCACCAGTTTCTTGCCGCGTCCTCCCTCCGAAGCACCGTTTCTCCCCCATTTACCGACTGCCATCGATGTGATCCCCGCCAAAAATAAAACTGACAACCCTGCAGAAGTTCCTCTCCTCAAAAAAAAAATCTCACTCTCTTCTAGCACCTCGTCAGCGCTTTCAGTCCGGATGGGATACAGCCCCTCTTCACTCCCACCGGGGAGCACCCACCGTGGTTTCTCCCGCTCCTTGCCTGTTCCCCTCCTGCCCAGCGCTTGCTGCAGCAGGAGCTCCACCTCCCGCACCACCTTTCCTCTAGCAGTGGGTATTTGGCGGAGCAGAGACAGGCAGAAGTGGCTCGGTGATCACGGAACTGCTTTCACCTTCAGAGCTACGCTCAGCAACCACAACCACTCCTACGGTTTTGCCACAAACCACAGAACCACAAAATCACAGAATATTAGGGGTTGGAAGGGACCTCTGTGGGTCATCTAGTCCAACCCTCCTGCCGAAGCAGGGTCACCCAGAGCAGGCTGCACAGGACCGCGG